ACTTGAGCACTGTCTTCGGTGTGGATCTCGTGGGAGGCTATGCTGTTTTCAAGCCCCCTTCTTTTGCGCTGTATAGCCTACGTATACGACCTCACCATCACTGACATTCGGAAGCCTTACCTGAGCTCGCCCAATGCCTCTATCAAGGCTCTTCAGGAGGTATTGCTACACGTCAAAATCATTCGTGATCACACTTGCGAGTCGATGAAGATCGCCAAACAAAAGAGCTGGTAAAACCCCCGGCTCGTACGCATCCACCATCGCTGAGCAGCTGTATCCTGATGGTCAGCATTTCCGTCTGAGGCTGTGCATACTTCTGATCCCATTTTGCGCTCGTGTGCTCGCCATCATCACTGCAAAGTTGCTGCGGGTTGGAAGCTCATCAAACGCTGAAGCGACTACTGCTGAGAGTCCTTACACATGGGAATCCGACGACTTTGTATCCACTGGAGCCGCGTGTGCATCACCGTGGAGGTGTTCGGAGATAAATTCTGCTTTATGTAGGAGGCACCCATTTCGCCATCGTTCTTGAACAAGTTGCTACGCCAAAAGGTGTTGAAACGTATTCTACGCACTACTAGCTGGTAGCATTAACCATTATTACGAGATAATAAAGTTTGGAACTCAAACCAAATCAGTATTCTTTCATGTGTGGTAGATCTTCTCAGAACTTTGCTTTCGGTTTGATGCAATATACACGGTGCAGCTAAATCGGAGGCCGCCAGCCCGTGGAAGCTAAGAGTGTGATGTCTGTGAAGTGTCGCGGAAGCGTCAACGACGCATGGTATCGCTGTTGAGGCACCCCTTGTTCCTGGAGGAGGCTTGTTGCAAGTTTGGAACCGTATACGCGATCTAAGACAACATCATGCACGAAGAAGAGCTATAATTTCGTACATTGAGTGGTTCTAAGAAGCATGGAGGAAACTAGCAGCGCGTATTCATGTCATTTAGCTCGAGAACGTTTTATTATTTTCTTTTAGGCATTAAAGAAAACTCTGTTACTGCTTCTTCTCGCGCTGCTTGCGGTATATCTCTTCAAATGGGCTCACTCCTTTGCTTCCGCGACGATAAAATCTCATGGGAGGCAGCGTGGCAAGCGGAATGCCATCCGGTCTGTTTCGACGCCACTCAGGTGACCAACGGTAAATACACTTGGCGCATTGGCATTGCTGCCATTGAGGCTTGTCAGTTTGATTCGCTAGTACGTTGATGACGGTCATGGCCATGCTCAGATACACGAAAATACTGTAGCCACATTTCTTATGAAACCCGTCCTTCTTGTGGAGATATATTGTCTCGCCGGCAACAGACTCATCCCCTTCATATCCTTGTAGCGCTTGTAGCGCTCTTTGATCTTCGATCGCGTATATTGGAGGTAGACTTTGAAGAATCTCAGGCGACCAGAGAGGTGGCTACAAGTAATCTAGACAGATAACAAAATTAGACAGTGTGAATAACTTATTCCAAAAACTAATAACAACGCGTACACCTGACATTTCCATGGTGGCTATGAGCCACTTCAGCATAAAGATGTATTCGTGATGGAAATCATGATTGCCGGCAAATAGCCCTGCATAAACATTGTACATTTTCTCCAGAGGGAGAGCACCGACGAAA